GTCAGTGGCCTTTGGCCACGACTGATGGTGAGCACTGGGCAGTGCCCATGTGGTAGTGGTGCCTGAGGGTTTCTGCTTTGGGAACAGGAACCTGCTGGTGTCTTAGATTCCCAACACACCTTGCTTTGGTCAGAGCCTACCTGGACCCCCTTGGGCTCCAATATGAATCCCTAACCAGAATTTGGTGCCAAATTCACCTCTTCATTTTTCCTTTCATCTTGAAGCCCTGGTGCCAAGAATCTTCTGAAGCAAATTCTGGAAGCCAAATGCAGTGCTCCTAGGTGCTTGGGGAAGGAATTGCCCAAGACTCCTTCGGCCACTCTCTGGTCCAGCAGTCTCCAAACGTGTGTGTGTGGGGGTACTCACACTGACTCTGGCACAGGGGCCTGGGGACAAGCTCTGGGGGGAGCTGTGTAGGGGTGGGCCAGGCCAACGGGGGCGGGGGGCTTCCTTGCTCTGCGTGACGAGTGCCCAGAGGTGGAGGGCCTCACATTCTTGGGTGGAAAGGAGCAAAAGAGAGGATGACCCACTTAAAAACCAGCTCTTATGTATTAAGAACTATGTAATGTTATGAACGACCAATAAAAAAAAAAAATAAGACAAAAAAAAAAAAACAGCTCTTTTCAAAGCAGCGTGCTTGTAACTGGGGGCTGCTTGAAGTGGGTCAGCCTGCATATACACGTTGGTCTTCAACTCTTCAAAACCTGGCTGTTAAACATCTGTATCCTGTTTTCATTAGCTTGTAAGCCGTGGGGATGGGGATCTGCCTAGTTTTCTGAAGCAGCAAGTGTGCCTAGAGGCTAATAAACAGCAGGTGTCTCCAACAAATAGGATTTTAATACTCAGTGTAAATGTGACTGCAAATAAATATGCGAAACGAAAGGTGGAGCTGAATTTTACGTGCACATTGCACAATTTCTTAGCTGTTTTGATCTGGGAACTGTGGAGTGACCAGATCCATGGTGTACTTTTGACATGCATGGGTTGTGTGTACGGTACGCAGAGTGTGTGTGGGTAGTGCGTGTGGTTTGTGGCAAGGAATATGTCTGTGTGTGCATCTGTGCGTGTGTGTGAAGAGAGGGCCAAGCCTAGTGGAGAAAAGAGCCACTGGATAATTTGCCCAACGAAAAACAAAAGTATGGGCCCAAATCTCAGGAGAGCAACCCAAAGGCATCAAGCCAAGCTCAGGCCTGTCCTGGGTGCTGGGGCAAGTTGCAGGCCGGGCAGCTGACCCTCAGCAGAGAAGGTTCACCTCCTCGTCTCCTTTCAACCATTACTGATGTCTTGGAAGTCTGAATCCCCATTCACCCTCCCAGGCAGCTCTCTGTAGTGAGTGACCTGGCCTCAGCAGTGCAGGGAGCCACCGAGAGCACCTGTGCATTGCCAAGGCTGGTCTTGGCCTTTCCTGAGCCTCCTCCTGGTCCAGGCTGGTCTCTGCTAGGGGCATCACGATCCATAAGGCATCTCTTGACCTTGGCTCCTTTCTCAGAAAACAATGTCCTCTCAGCCAGTTACTCCCCATCCTGTACCGCAGGGCCCTGTCCTCCATCCCTTCTAAAAGTCAAAGTCTTCCTCTACAAGTCTGCAGGATGATCCCCAGAAATTGCCAGGCAGCAGGAACCACCTGAAGCATATCATGTGTCCCCATGGCCCACCAAGAGCTACAGTACTTGGGGATTTGATAAGCCCTGCCCTGGGCTTTTGCCAATTTGTTCTGCTCTCCTGGGGGAGGAGAGATGGCAAACAGGAATCGGGAAGCTGGAGCAGAATTGGGCTCATGGAGCTCCTGGACCAGAAATCTCTGTGAGGGGGTGTGGAGGGTGGGGATTCCTTAAGTCCTTCCTGTTTATTGTCCTCACTTACCTCCTCTCAGGTCAAGTTTGGCATGCCTGCTTCCCAGCACACTCAGGAGATGTTAATGGGGAAAATGAGGTCGGTCCACCCCAATACCTTACTTGTCAATAATTAGCTGCATGTCCTAGGTTCTGGGAGGAGGCAGTGGCTCTGGGCCTATCCCAGCTGGTTTAGCTCATCAATGCACCATGAGTATAGCCATTCCAAGGACCTTGAGTGTTTCTGGGGTGTTCCAGGTATGGGCATTCTCCAAGGGCTAATGGAACTAGAGAACTCTCCTTCACCGTTCCTGATTCTAGCTAGAGATGGTCCCTAAGCTCAGCCAAAGTCTGACCCTGACCCCTTCCCCTGTCCTGGTAACTCTGAGACCCTATACAATGGAACTGTGTGAACCCAGCCTGGAGGGCCTCCTTAAAAAAGATAACCTGCTTGGAGCCACAGTGACCCAAAGTATAAAGATTCTTGGGGAAGGCAGCAGCCAGATGGGATCAGGCTCCTCCATTAGACATGGGATTTGGGACCAAACAATGGAGCAGGGATAAAGACTGCTACAAACTCGTCACTCACTGGCCATGGGGCTTTGCCTGCCAGAGAGAGATCCAAAGATATTCGTGCCCCAACCTCATGCAAGGGATAAACTGGCTTTCCAGGAAAAAAGTCCCGATTCAGCAATTGCCAGTTTCTGTTGCATGAATACTCCCACCAAGTCCAATTTCAAGCTACCAATTGGCTTAGCAACTGGCTCCGAAAATTCTTGAATACTTAAATCAGCTCTTGCTTCACTGTCCTTTAAGGTCACGGCCCTTCTCAGAGGCCATCAATAGCACAAGTCCCCAGGGAACTAGGGCCTGCCTGCCTGCCTGAGCCCAGCAATCCACTCCTGTCCTCACTTGCAAGTGAGCCAGTGGAGAAGCAGTTGGGTGTGAATAAACCATCAGCGCACACTGTAATGCACATGCAGCCAGAAGCTGACAAGCCACCCATTCTCTCCCTTCCCTCAGTCACATGCTAGCCTCCTCACTCATCCCCACTTCCAGGGGACCAGATGTGCAAGGTGACGAATATCAGGGTGGCAGGAAGCCACAGACAGGGTCGGTTCCCTGGTCCACAGAACCACACCCATCCCAAGAGCTCCAAGTGTATCCACCAAAGTGCACTCGCAGGAGGGGCTTTCTGGTCTTGAGGGTGGAGGGACCCTTTCTCTGGATGCAGGTTTTCCTCTGAGACCCATCCGCTTTTGATGTCTTCCCCGTGTCTCCATTTACCCTCCTCTGGGCTCCTGGAATACTACAGTGGCCCCACCTTAGCCAGGCAGCTGTGATGAGAGGTGTTGACCCAACTGCTTCTCCACTGGCTCACTGCATCAGGTGGAAGGGGCCAGAGACAGCAACAGAGACTTAGAGTCTTGTGGTGCAGTTGGGGGCCCTGGGGCCATGCAGAGGCAGGATTGGATCCAGGTACCTCTGGGATTCAGATAGACACTGGGTGATGAATGGGAAAAGCAACCAGAGGGGTTCGGGCTCTTGGCCAGGAAAAACAGTCCCTGAGCCACAGGTGTGACATTGAGACCTCTCGCAACCATAATCTCTCCTATTTGGTGACGGCACACATCCAGGCCTGAGACCCAGCAGAAAGCATTCCCTGGGTCCCAGATTAAGTTTCTATGGGGACAGAGACAATCATGAATCATCACATTTGTGGGCTCCAGGCTGGTTCATTGTAGAAGACCGACTTGTGAATAAACCATCAGAGCACACTGTAATGCACATGCAGCCAGAAGTGTTACACACATTAGGGACAGGATAGAAGTATCTGCCAAGGAGATGATATTTGAACAGGGTTATAAAAGTGAGTCCCTTTAATAGCCTCAACCACCCCACAAGGCCCAAGTCAGATCTCCAGCTCACAGATCTGCTCTGTGGGTATCTGTGGCATGTCCAGGGCTGCCTCCCACCCTCAGCAGTGGAGGGTCACACAGGGAGCCTCCTCTAGCTAAAGCCTTCGAGGTCCTCACCACCGGCATTGTCAACATTGACGTTTCCTCGACTCAGAACAAAAAGGGAGTGAGATTCCCCTGTTGCTCTTTCTGTAAATGACCAGGCTGAGGGAGTGAGAGGCAGGGCCGCCATAACTGGGGAAGGGGCTCTTGGGAGGGTTCCTGGAAAGCAGAGAGGATAAGAAGGGAGGATTTAACACAGAGAAGTGGAACATGGGGCCCTTCCAGGGTTGAAGCCAGATCCTGGATTCATGGGCCAATTCCCAGAAGTTCAAGATCTGAAGCAGCCCACTTCTGGACCTTAATGAGAGCCTCTGGCCTGAGGCCTTATCCTCAGATGGTCTGACTCTGAATTAGGGATGACCAATGAAGGAGAATTACCACAGCAACTGAGTTCATATAAAATGACGGTGAATGTGTGTAGTGCATGCACATACATATGTGTCCAAATTCAATTAAAACATTATTTCTGTGCATTTTTTTTTCTTTTGATACTGGGAATTGAACCCAGGGGCACTTAATCACTGAGCCACATCCCCAGTCCTTCTTATATTCTTATTTAGAGACAGGATCTCAGTAAGTTGCTGAGGCTGGCTTTGAACTTGTAATCCTACTGCCTTAGCCTCCCAAGCCTTTGGGATTAACAGCATGTGCCATTGTACCTGGTGAATTCTGTGGATTCTTGATTCTGGGACCCTCTGTCTTCTTCTCCAGGGAAACTTCTGGAATCCCGTACTTGGTTTAGAATGTGTGTGAGACCCCTCCTCAGTTCTTGTACATAGTGGGAGCTCAAAAAACATAAGCTCCTTCTCTTTGGCCACTCAAAGTGGTCACTTGGCCCAAATGGGGCTTTCCCAAATTAAAAACTGCCAAGAATCTGGTCCCTCCTTCCTTCTCTGAGTAACGACAAACACCGGAATGTCATAACATCCTCTGTGTCCTCATCTGTGTTATTCTGGGACACCGGCTGGGAAGGGTACCTGGGTAGCCCCCTCCCCCCACTGAGACTGAAGTTTCTTGTAACGTGGGCTGGCCCGTGTCAGTCCCGTGGATGGATGCAGAAGGGTGAGGCACCCATCCTGCTAGTCAGGCAGGATGCTGGCAAGAAGGCAGCCGGCCAAAGGGGGTGGAGCTTCCAGAACAAAGGAGAATGGGGAGCCCTGGGGGCCCAGGATCCGCATCAAAAAGGCTCTGCAGAGTGAGCAGGCCACATACTGCTTGCCTCTGCATCCAGCAGCCAGCCAACAACCCTTACCTGCTCCCTTCTCTTGCCCAGGCTGGGCAAGAAAACAACACTCTGCTTAGAGAAGCCCAGCTCTCCAGCGTGATTGCGCCCACACTGCTCTGTGGCTTTCTCTACTTGGTGTGGGTTGCTGCTGAAGTTCCAAAGGCCAGCAGAGGGATGGCTGCCAGCGGAGCCAGGAGCCAGGAAGGCCCCCGGGAGCATGCCTTCATCCCAGAGCCTTTTGATGGGACCAATGTAGCCCCGAGCCTCTGGCTGAACCGCTTCGAGGTCATCAACGACCTCAACCATTGGGACCACACCACCAAGCTCAGGTTCCTGAAAGAGTCGCTCAGGGGAGACGCCCTGGAGGTCTACAACGGACTCAGTCTCCAGGACCAGGGAGACTACGGGATGGTGAGGGAGACCCTTCTGAAGGCCTTCGGGGGCCCCAGTGCCACTCTCAGCCACCAGCCCAAAGAGATCCTGTTTGCCTACAGCATGGGCAAGGGCTACTACCTCAAGGGGATGATCGGCCCAGTGTCGGTGAGGTTCCTGGTGGACTCGGGGGCCCAGGTCTCTGTGGTCCACCCCAAGTTGTGGGAGGAGGTCACCGACGGCGACCTGGATACCCTGCGGCCCTTCGAGAACGTGGTCAAAGTGGCCAACGGGGCCGAAATGAAGATCCTGGGTGTGTGGGACACAGTGATTCGCCTGGGCAAGCTGAAGCTGAAGGCTCAGTTCCTGGTGGCCAACGCGAGCGCCGAGGAAGCCATCATCGGCACCGACGTGCTGCAGGACCACAACGCCGTGCTGGACTTCGAGCACCGCACCTGCACGCTCAAGGGAAAGAAGTTCCGCCTCCTGCCCGTCGGAGGGAACCTGGAGGACGAGTTCGACCTGGAGCTCATCGAGGAGGAGGAGGAGTCCTCCGTGGAGGGGAGGCGGCAGCAGCACTCCCATTAAGAAGCCCCCTTTTCCTTGCCCCCCAAGATAGGTAGGGAGACCCACCATTGTGCGGGGGGCACATGTCCTCTGGGGAAATCTAACGCTGGCTCTCCACTCCCCTCCCTCTGCAGGGGCCTTTCTCTGCCCCTGGCGGGGGAGGCTTCATGGAAACAGCAGGGGGAAGGAGAGCAGGGCGGCATGCTCAGAGAGAGGGTCCCCACGGTCCTCAAGCTATTGTGGGTGGCAAAGACTGGAAGGCTAGAAGCAGCTTCCCAGGAGGTGGAAATATCTGTCTTGGAGAGAGGACTGGGGGAACCCCTTCACATCCCTAAGAGGTGGTTCTGTCACCTCCGAGTTCTTGAAGCCTGCTCAGCTGGGGCTGGGTCCCTGTCTGCAGGACCCTTAGGAGCCAGGTCCAGCTCTCAGGCTGGGGTTGACAGTTGCCCTGAGAGCCTCCCTGGGGAGCCTTCCCACCTGCTCCACGGTATGTTTCCTTCTGTCATTTGCTTTGAAACCCCTGATCCTTGTGCCAATAATTCAATTACTTCAAAACCAATAAAGACCAGTTGATGGAAGAACCTGTAATGTGCTGATTGGGGATGAATGAAATGGATGTGAGAGAGCGGGGAGAACAGGGAGTAAAGGGAAAACAGAGACAAAGACCAGGAACACTCCAGTGTGTCCTGAATGCTTGTGCTTGGCCTGTGTGTGTGTGTGTGTGTGTGTGTGTTATTATTATTACTATATATGTAATAATAATAATAATAATAATAATATGTATATAATGTATATATATGGTGACCCTACATGTCTTGGATTTTCTAAGGAACTCTCAACTTAAAATATTTTTATTTATTCCCTCTATAATTCCTCTCATCATTTCTAGTCAAGTTATAATTCCTCTAAATATTTTAATCTATAATATTTTAGCATCCAAATTGTCCCTTATATCCTAAGGTGACCCTAAGGCTATTTGTGAGATGTCTTGATGGGAACTGGGAAATAATGATTAGTGGAAACAAATGGAAGCGCATCTTGTAGGCTAGTAGGTTCTTATGGATGCCCTGGGAGCCAGAATTTGGAGGCAAAAAGTAAAGCTAGGAGACAAGTGTTGACTTGTAGGGAGCAGCCCAAGGGATTCTGAAGGGCAGAGGGGAGGCAGCAGGGGGGACTCAGGCAGCGGGGGGAAGCTCTGACCCTTGGAGGACAGCTTCTTCCTGGGTGGACTTGGAAAGGAGCCTGACATAGAGATGCCAGATAGAGGGGAAGAACATTCAGGAATGGGATGTCCAGCTCTTTTAGGGGTTCACCTCATATTTGCTTCCCATTTCCTGCCTCTTCCTCTGGAACTCAACAGGCCTGAGAATCTGAAAACCCCTCAAATCAAAGGGAGAAGCTGAGTAGATGGAAATCTGCACAGAGGAGCAGATCTGTTACAAACCTCAGGGATCCTCACTACTTACATCAGGGAAGCAGGTCCTTAGGGGTGGTGGCCCACACCCTCTAGGCTGACCAGAAAGATTGGCACAAGGACAGAGACTTGGGCTTGCAGGGACATTGGTGTACAGAGCCCTGGCAGCCTCTTGATGGGAGGCAGGCAGGGCCATTTTCCCTTCTCCAGGGCAGAATGAGCCTCTTCTGGAAGATTCCAACTGGACAACTCCTGGGAGAGACAGAGACCCTGAGCAGAGGCCGGAGGTTGGAGGGTTAAGCCTTCCTGCTTAGAAGCTTCTGGACATCTGAGGCTAACCTGAACCAGGAACGCTGCCCTCCCTCTCTCAGATTCCAGCTGTGGTTCTTCTGAGACCTGGGGTGTGACTCAGCCCCTAATCCCCAGCGTTTACAGAAGCTCTGTCCCTGGGCAGCCAAGCATCTCAAGTGGAATTAGCTCCATCACCCTGGGAGCACGGAGCAGGAGCACGAGGGACAGAGGTCAAGGTGTGGGACCAGGAGGGTGTCTTTCTCCAGCAAGGTGAGGCTGGAGAAGAACAAGGTGATCTCCTCCTGCCTCCCAGGTCCTGGGTTCCCATCTCAAGCTTGTTTTTCTACCTCTCTCCCTCTCTGCTGGCCTCCCCAATACTGCTACTCTCCTGGGCCAACCCGTCTCCCGAGGGAACAACCCAGCTGGCACCTCCCTGTGACCTATTTTCCGTTTCATCTTTCAGATCCTAGCCACATGCTGGGCTGAAGGAGGACGGGTGAAGAGTGGGTGGATTGGGAGGTGGGGAGGGGTCAGGAAATTGGGCATCCAGGCCAGAATTCCAGGGCAACACGCAAGCCACCCCTACCCTCCACCCCACACAGCAGTGAGGCCGAGCCCTGTCCTGTGTAAACTCGGATGGGTATCCCTGCAGTGGATACTGCTTTTTCCTGGTTCTGGGTGAGGAGGGCCCATCTGAGCCACCAGACTATCAGCCCAGCTACCTCTCCTAGAAGAACAGGGAACCCTGAGTGAGGCCAGGCAGAGGAAGGATCTGCAATGCCTATAGAAAGGCCCCATGAAGGAAGGCACCACCTGGATACCTGAGGAAGACCAAGGCAGGTGCCATGTGGCTGTGAGAGCGATTACAAATGTGTGTGTGATTGTGAGTGCTGCTCCCCTGGGAGCTGAGTGTCAAAGGAACCTGGGAAAGAAGCCAGGAAAAAAATGGGCTCCTGCCACATCACAGAGGGCCTCTTGTCCAGGTGGGGAGCTCATACTTGACTTACAGGTTTGTGGAAGGGCAGAAGACTCATCTGGCTCCTGGATAAAGGATGAAGTCAAGCAGTGGCAAAGAACTGAGCCTGGGAGCTATGGCGGTGTTTTGATGTAAGGTCTGAATTTGAGTTGATGGGGAGCGGTGGCAGGGGTCAAGGTACAGGGTTAATGTTGGCAGCACATTAGAATTACCTGGGAAGGGGCTGGGGCTATGGCTCAGTGGGAAAGTGCCTGCCTAGCACATATGAGGCAGAGTTTGATCCTCAGAACCACATAAAAATAAATAAATAAGATAAAGATGTGCCCATCTACAATTAAAAACAAAAAAAGTTAAAAAAAAATCACCTGGGAAGACCAGTTACAGCCATCTTCTCCATTGGCCCCAATGTGCAAGTGGGCTCGGGGACCCTTGTTTGAAGTTCCAGTGGTGTACCCCTTTGGCTCCCTATAGGCTGACCCAAGGACCAGCAGAATCAGTGCCCTCCAGGACCTTGTTTGGAATGCAGAATTTCAGGGTCCACCCAGACTTGCCAGAATCTGCACTGAGTATCCCAAAGGATCTTCATCATGGAAAAATTTGAAAAGCCCTGGCCAGGAACATCCTATTGTCCAAGTCCTGGCCCCTACAGGACAGCCCCTTCTCTAAGAATGACCATCACACAGTGAATGCCTACCAATCCCCTAGTAGGCTAGATAATTCCTCCGTTTTTATCCAACAACTACTTATTTTATTTTACTTTTGTTTTGAAATAATTTGAGACTTACAGAAAAGTCGCAAGAGTAGATCAGAGAATTTCCATATGCTTAATCTAGTTTTCCCAAATATTAAGTCTTACCAATTAACTTTATTCGCTCCCATTCTTTCTTGGTATTTACATGTAGATGAACCATTTGAAAATTGTAAATAAGATGCACTTTTTTTTTTTAAAAAAAACTGAGGATCAAACCCAAGGCCTCAATGCATGGTAACCAAGTGCTCTACCACTGAGTTACAGCCTCAGCCCAATATGATGTATATTTACCTCTACTTCAATGTATTTTCCAAACTCCCACAATCTATTACCATAATACAGTTATCAAAGTCAGGAAATCAACATTTGATATAATTTAATCTGCACACCTGCTTAAAATTTTCCAATCATTCCAGTACTCTTTGTAGTCAAAGAAAAAATTATTTTTGATGGGCTCATGCCTGTAATCCCAGCAGCTCCAGAGGCTGAGGCAGAAGGGCCGTGAGTTCAAAGCCAGCCTCAGCAACTGAGGCCCTGAGCAACTCAGTGAGACCCTGTCTCTAAATAGAGTACAAAAAAGGGCTGGGTATGTGGCTCAGTGGTTGAGAACCTCTGGGTTCAATCCCTGATACGAGAGAGAGAGAGAGAGAGAGAGAGAGAAAGAGAGAGAGAGAGAGAGAGAGAGAGAGAGAAAGAGAGAGAGAGAGAATGATTTTACAGTCCAGGATCCACTTCTCCAATACATCACATTACATTGTCATGTCTCTGGGTTCCTTTGAACAATTTCTCAGTCTGTCTTTGTTTTTCATGACTTTGATAATTTTGTAGGAGACTTGGCTGGTTATTTTGTAAAATGTCCCTGAATTTGGGTGAATTTGATGTTTTCTCTGGATTAAATTTGGGTTTTGCGTTTTAAGCAAGAACATCCAGAAGAGACAGTGCCCTCAGCAAGTATCCCTAGGCCCAGAGGAGGTTGGCTGTTCCATGACTCATGATGTTCATGTTAATCACTTGTTCTGAGTGCTTTCTGCCAGGTTTCTGTGTAAATGAGTGTCTGGTGGGGAGACAATCAGGGACTATATAAATGTTCCATTTGTCACCAGGCTGTCACCTACTAGGTTTAGCACCCTCTGATGATTCTTGCCTGAACCCATATTATTGTGATGGTTATCACCTGGTGATTTTGAAATTCTATACTACATTCTTTAACTGGCTCTCAACTTTAAGGAAGAGCTTTCCCTATTTATTGATCCCTATTAATTGATTGATAACCAAAAACCACACATCCTTGTGGACTCACAATTGCTGACTTTATTCAATAAGTTACACTCAGCTATTACCATTATTTATTTATTTTAAAACCTTTTTTCTTAGTTGTAGATGGACACAGTACCTTTATTTGGGGTGCTGAGGATCGTTGGAACCCAGTGCCTCACCTGTGCTTCGCAAGTGCTCTACCACTGAGCTACAGCCCCAGCCCCCATTATTTATTTTGATGCTTAAATCATTTCAGATTTGGCAATGAGAGTTTCTCCAATATGACTCCTGTCTTCTTGGGACATGTCCCCCCGCTAATGGGAGCCCTTCTT